CAAACTATACAAAGAAAATTTGAAAAAACTTCTCAACAATTACACTATGTAAATTTGCCAAATAAAATGTCATAGCAGTGCAAAATAGCTGCTTAAATGTACACATGTATCAATAAAAAAATTTTAATTACAATCATGCTAAAAGCAGCCCAGACTACATGAACATAGTGATACCAAAGTTAACCCAAACAACAACAAGCAAACTGATTTTACTGATGAATTAAAATAGGAAATTACATCTGACTCACGAAAAACTGAAATTGCAACAACTGACAACACAACCCAAGCTAGGGATAGATCTGAGGGTGGTGCTGGTGGTCATCGGTGAAGATTTGGGCCTCCTAAGAGTAGCAAAGGGTGGTTAAAGAGTGGGATAGTGAGGCGGTGATAACAGGGGAATGTGGTGGGTAGTGGCGGTGATGTAGTATGATTGGACAGTGGTAGCGGAACAAGGCGATGGAGTTGCGGGATCCGTTGTGGGATCGCGGCAATGATACACTATGGCTGAAAAGACAGAAGGAAGCTTTTGGGATAACTGAACAACGGTAGATAGCACGGCGAGGGGGTTGCGAGGTTGCGAGAGTGATGTAAGAGCTTGAGAGGTGGAGAAGGTGTTGTGATGGTTGGGACAACAATAGCAGTAATATGAAGGGCTGGAATCGCAAAAAGGCAACGAGCGGGCTGTCCTCAGAACGATGACAATGAGGAGAAGGGTTGGTGCCAAGGGACAACATATTGGGAGGGGAGGAAAGATGCTAGAAAACTATGAGAAAACAATAAAATGGTTGTTTTTCGGTGTCTGCAACAAACACAGCGACAACGGAGGGAGGGTTGCAGAGTAGTGGGAAGGTCGAGAATAATCACCACCTTGAGCGAGATATAGTCGGAGCACCACTCAACGTCGAATATAGCTATAGAAGGGAAAACTTGAGTGTCGATGGCTATCCTGACATAAAATATGAAAAAATTATCTCAAAAAAAAAAAAAAAACATGCTTATAGACCTAGGGTAACTAGGGAGTGACCCTCATCAAGTGAGTGGCGACCCTAAGTAGTCAGCTAGACCGACTGGTCCTTGGTTTGCTTGGATCAGAAGGTCAGGGACTACAAGGGTGCGATCCTACGACTCTCCCACGTTGTATCTCGAGTTTGGGAGAGCTTCGACTTCATTAGTCAAAACTTTTATTGACATGTTGAAGGTTGTTAAGTTACTGTAACCTCCTGAGGTTGAAGGGTCTTCAACTATGTCGAGAGCACCTGGATCTCACTACTGACGACACTAACTCCCAATTATTTGAAGAGTTTTATCAACTTGCGACAAACATCCATATAGGTTCAACCATTTGGGAGTATGGTGTTGAGCTGAACATAAATCTCATGCTAAGTGCATTCTGCTGACTCCTCCAAAAGCAACCAAAGGTCGATTCAACCCGATCTGAAGTGAGTAAAATCTGAATCTCCCTAAATGATGGCGTTCATGATTGTAAGCTAGCAAACATGACAATCATGAAACTCTATATGTACTGATTGTCATGTGCCTGCTACTAACTCTTCTCTCTTACGGTCCTCTATAATCACTAGGATTGATCCTCCGGATGCTTCTCTACTAACAAGGGAACCCTAAATCTCGGACTCCGTAGAAGGTAAAGGAACTATGTGCTTGTCATCTTTGGTTAAAGAGTAGGTGTTCCTTTACTCTATCATGTTGTATCATGCAATCATACTGTTATCGTCTCTCCAACAAAATATGACAAGCATCCATGGGCACCACATCGCACCAGACCTGATATTGCATCTGGCTCCCAATATAAAACTCCACGAGACACCTGTCAATGTTAACCTTGTTCTTCTTCTTCAACTATGTCGGGAAATATGCTTGATGATATCTCTAAGTCGTGATGCTCAACTTATACACCATCAGTGTTAACACCACATTCTTGCTGCTATTTCCATCGATCACGATGATGCATACCTTTCCTTTCACAATGCAATAGGTGTAGAATATATTGTATGGAAGACACTGTTGCTCCATCATAATCTCAGTCATAAGAACTCGTCAAACCACCAATATATCGCCCTCATCAGGTGAAAGCTGATACGCCTCACCCTGTTCTTCGATGCAACTTCGATGCTCACTTCTTCCACATCACCCTGCTCAATAAATGACACAATTCAGCTTGTCAAGCAATTGGAGGCGATGTGCCCAAATCCATGACATCTGAAGCATTTTTTGGTTGGGATTGTAGTGGGCGTGCTACTCCTCTCAGGCTTCTTTTCACTCTAAGTGACTTTGTCTGAATGCAGTGGTTGCTTGTTTCCTTCTACTATCTCTCCACCTTCAGTGCCAATGTCTGTATGTCACCCAAAAACCAGCAACCGGTGGTGGGTTTCAAGCCTCCCAAGTACCTGGCTATTCTATGCTCTTTTGGCTCTGTCATATTTCAGCCTAAACTGCATAAACTCTGTTATGTACTCCTTCACTAATAAGTCCCTTTGTTGTAGGTAGTGGAGCTTCAAGAAAAGATCATGACGGTAGTGTGAGGGAGAGTATTGTTACTCCAACTCCCTCTTCATACTCTCCCAGGTAGTATTCATGCTTTGTCCTTCTCTATTTCTCTCCTTTTTCAGATTCTCCCACTGCAACGAAGTGCACTTCTTCAACTTAATAGCAGCTAGATTCACTTTCTGATCATCTAACCCCTCCTTGTATTCAAAGACCCTCTTGACGATCTGCATCTATTCTATGAAATCATCCAAAATCATTCTTTCCTTGAAATTCGATATGTCCAATTTTAATCATGAGTCTCTGTATCCTCCAACAGGCACGTCATCTCTGTATTCTCAACAGGTACTTCATCTTTGTAGCCTCTAATAGACACTTCATCTCTCGACCTCATCTGATACTATATCCTAAAGCATTGTGGCAAGTTTTCTTTTCCATTAGAATCATAATCCCTATGAAAAAGATTCAACTATTCCTCTCTCTCTCTCCACTTTGGATCTCACTACCACTCTCATCAATAACCTCTCAACGGGTCATTTCCTCAATTTCATCGAGCCGTTGTAGCATTCAGTGGAGCTATTACTACAATTCTTCTATGGTAAACTCTTAATTAGGTTCTAATAATTGGGTATGATATAAATAAAACTAAGGTTAGAATAGTTTTGATACCAAATGATACCAGAGTTAACCTAAACAACAGAAAAACCAATATTATTGCTGAATTCAAATAAGAAATTACAACAAACTCACAAAAAACAGAAATTGTAACAATTGACAAGACGAAACCAAGCTAGGACTAGATCCTAGGGTGGTGTTGCTGATTGGCGAATATTTGAGCCTTCTAAAAGGTAACAAAGGGTGGTTAAAGAGTGGGATAGTGGGGCTACAGCAAAAAGGGAGTGCAATGGGTTGTGGCGGTGAGGTAGGATGGCTGGAAAATGGTAGCGAAACAAGAAAATGAAGTTTTGGGGCTGCAAAAGTGATGTGGGTCGGTTGAAAAGCCTGGAGGGAGGTGCTACAATGGCTAAACAACGGTAGTAGCATCGCAAGGGGTTTATGGGGGCAGTGACAGCAAGGTAGAATGCTGAGAGAAAGTGGAGGGTGTCGGGATGGTTGGGACATTGATGGAAGCAATAGGGAGGGCAGAAATCACAGCAAGGCAGCGAGCGGGAGAGCTGGAAGGCAGCTGCAGGAAAACATTAAAGTGGTTGTTTTCTAACGGCTGCAACAAACATGGCGGCAGCGGAGGGATGTTTGCGGAGGAATGGGAAGGTCGAGGATAATCACCACCTCGAGCAAAAGAGAACATAAGCACCATTTGTTGTCGGATACAATTTTAGAAGAAAAAAACCTGAACGCCGATGGTTGTCCTGACAAAAAACACAATGAAAGAACATTAAAGTGGGAGAGCTAGAATCACAACAAGGCAACAAGTTGGAGAGCTGGAAGACAACTGCAGGAAAACATTAAAGTAGTTGTTTTCTAAAAGCCGCAACAAACATGGCGGCAGCGGAGGGATGTTTGTGGAGGAGTGGGAAGGTCGAAGATAATCACCACCTCGAGCAAAATAGAGCATAAGCACTATTCGTTGTCGAATACAATTTTAGAAGGGAAAAATTGGATGTCGATGACTGTCCTGACAAAAAACAAAATAAAAGAAAGGCTTCTATCCCAATAAGTTTCCACCTAAGGTGTTACTTTTCACCATGGTAGTCTTTGCACCTCATTTTAATTCCTTGAATTCAACTAATCACAAAAATATTATCACAAGACAAACACTGAAACACGAGAAAGTAAAACCTCTGAGATTCAAGTCTACTAGTCATTGTGTCCCGCATCCAAGGTCCCATTTAATGACCTCCAAAAAAAAATTCAAAAACTGCTCAACCCCAGCTTTACATCCTATGCAGTAGCAGCAATATCTTAGTTTGCAAATCACAACTCTCTACCCTAATAAAGAAGGAAACTGAAATCCAAACATCTTATCCAGACTGTTCACTCAATCAATGATACCAAAATCTCCAACATCATGCACAATGCCCCCTTGAGTTAACCATATATCAGCTTCGTCTAGTTCAAAATTCACTATGTAAGCCATACAGTAATCTCCATCAAGCTGAACGATTTCTCACTCTAGAAGCTTTAAGTTAACCCAGTACCCTAAGCAAACCACACAACTGACAGTTATGGAATTTCCACTTAATTTAATATTAAACATAATCAACATGTGGAACCCATCATGCATCACCAAAAAACAACGTAGAATCTTAATTTTCAACCGGAGAATTTTGTTCCTTCCAGGCTCCAGCTTTTCCTCCACCACAGATCACGTCTGAAATTTCAACATTTTACAATGAAATAGAACAATACCAAGAAATAATAGCAAGTAAAATCAAATGAACAAGTGAGAGCATCAATTACTACAGAAGCAAACAGATCATTGATAAAAAATTCACTGCAGCGCGCAAGGCAGTTAAAGGGAGAGCCGAGGCACTGACCGTCCAATCCAGAAGGAGAGGGAGGCACCGAGGACCTTCGCGGAGAAGACGCAAGAAATAGCAGGGAGGAATCCAAAGAGTATGGAAGCCCCGGCCTCAAAGAATACGGCGTAGGGAAGGCATAGGGCAAGAGTGAGAGTGTGAAGTAGGACATAAAGCGGGATCGCCCAAAACCCTAATTTCTCAGAGAGCCCCCGAAAGGCTTGTAAAACCGCCTCCCCATCCCACCCAGACCGCCCGCTAACACTCACCACAATGGCTATCGCTACCACCGCCATGGCGAAAGAAGCTAGTCCCTTACCCATTTGCACCTGCGGCAGCAGTCTGCTACTTCCCGTTTCGTGAAGAATTATTGCATATACCGCATGCATCCGAATGGTCAGTAGTGTGCTTCATTTAAAATTTTTTTTTCAAAAAAATATTGATCACATCATGATCGTAGATCGTCGTAATTTACGATCATGATCGAATAACGCATATATCTCTGCATGCCGTGTATGTGTAGTAAACATACATACAAAAATACGTCGGACAGTGCTGAGTTAAAAGAAGTCAATCAGTACACCGCAAAATTTCTATTTTAACATACAATAGGTTGTTTTTGAGTGGAGTTCTCACATATAAGCTCATATTTAACCTTTCTTTTTAATTATCTTTCTTAATTTTTATTTGTCTTATTTATATTAACAAAATAAAGTCAGATTTAGATTTGAATTTAATTTTTCACGTATAAATAGTAAATAAGTTAAAAAAATTCAAATAAGTGTTTAACTTTTTTATAATATTACTTAATTTTACAAATCTAAATAAATAAATAATAAATTAGCATCAAATTATTTTAAATAAAATAATATATAGATTATAAGAAAATTTTCTTATATTTAAATGATATAAATATGTACTAACAAATTAGTACACTGAAATAAAAAATAAGAAAAAATTGTATTAAATTTATATGCATATTGATATTAAATTATAACATTTTATTGTTAAATATATAATTAAAAAATTTTTAGTTGATCAAATATATTTATAAACTATATCATGTAAATGTTTAGCATTTAAACATTTACTTATTGAATAACAAACGAGTTTGGTCCTAAACATTAATAAACGATTTGAACTATATTCAAATTTAGGTCTTTTAACTTACAATTTAAAAAAAAAATGTTCAAACTTGCTTATATACTAAGTTGAACAAAAACGATTGAACATTAATCAAATCAAATTTAAGTTGTTCATCAAGTGCATTGATTCAAATACAGCTCTGTACCTCAATTGACCACTTCTCAAGTCAACAAAAATAAATAGAGAGGGAGAACCTCCATCTCAACATTAGCTTATGTTTTCACCTCCCTTGTAGCATGGAATATCTATCTATCTATCTATCTATCTATCTATCTATCTATCTATCTATCTATCTATCTATCTATCTATCTATCTATCTATCTATCTATCTATCTATCTATCTATCTATCTATCTATCTATCTATCTATCTATCTATCTATCTATCTATCTATCTATCTATCTATCTATCTATCTATCTATCTATCTATCTATCTATCTATCTATCTATCTATCTATCTATCTATCTATCTATCTATCTATCTATCTATCTATCTATCTATCTATCTATCTATCTATCTATCTATCTATCTATCTATCTATCTATCTATCTATCTATCTATCTATCTATCTATCTATCTATCTATCTATCTATCTATCTATCTATCTATCTATCTATCTATCTATCTATCTATCTATCTATCTATCTATCTATCTGGGTGGTAAAAGAAACCAATACAATTATACTCACACATAGGGGTTCTACCTCCCACATTATAACACCACCTAATCAAAAAACTCCAAAAGTAACATGCAAGTATACCCCAAAAAGAAACAAAACATATACTCATATAAAATGAAATGTAACTATGAAGCCAAAATATCTATGCAACAGCTGAAATAGAGACCTTGAACAGGAAACAAAAGCAATAGTCCTCAGAATCTGCTCGAAAAGGTAAGGGATTCTGCATAGAAATGCTGAAAAAACCAATTAGTTCACCATGAAAATAACAAAAGGAGAGCAGCAGCGAAGCTGAGTTCCAACATAACCCTTGAATCAGGAGAGTAAAGCAGTCCAATAACATGCTATGATCCAGTAGTAATCGAAAAGGGGACTGCCAAAGTGAAACAACGTCCAATCCAACAAGAGAAAGTAGCAACCAATCAAGAGAGAGACCATTAACCGCAACTAATCAAAAGCATATTGTCAAAATTGATGATCAATGCATAATCCTTGTAACCTTGTAAACGCAACAGTAAAAGGAGTATCCAGAGAAGCATGTATGCAAAGAATTCAAATAAAACCATATTGTTAGTTGATCCAGACTGTTTATATGCAACAATATAACAATGTATTTGATTATATTTTTCACTTATCTTTCATTACTTTGCAACAATACCAAAAGCTTGATCCTGGAGAATATAAGAATTTAATTTTTGATTAAGTCCCGAATATCGAACCCACAAGAATTGTTCACAGTATATGATAATTAAAGTAACCAAATTTTCTATTAAAAAAAACAAATACTTAAACTATAGTTTTTATCATAGGAATGAAATTTAAACTCTTTTTGGTATTTTTTTTAAACTCTTTTTGGTATTTTTAATGTTTGAAAATGAAATAAAAATTTACTAAAGATAACTTAAGTTCATGTAAAAGAAAAGCACTTAATATGAAATATATTTCTCATTATCATGAATCAGTAATAAGTATAAGAATTATGTTGTGGAAGTATTCAAGTTGTGTTGTGCCAAATAGAAACAATATTATTCGTTACTCTTACTAGAGATGCTATAAAGAATATTGGTTAATTTAAAGTTTGAATAGTTCTGAAGACCGGTTAGGCAGTGAAGATACTAGCTCTCACTCTAGAGTTCCCTCGGTTCCCTCCACCTGGGGGCTAACATCTCGCAACAAAATCTAAAATAATAAACCAAGTTAGGGGCTTTAGCCTTCACTCTAAAGTCCTCTAGCTCTACATCCTTCAAAGATTATTTCCTTATTTATTTACACTCAATCATATGAACTACATTCTCATTCATACAATCTTATGTGATTCTTTCCAATTGTTGACTGAGACAATACCATCCCGGTTCTTACATGTTCTCACAACAAATTTTAACAACTAGATGGGTCAGATCAAGAAATAAATGAAGTGCATGGAATTAAATCATCACAACTTTTTATAACATTAAAGATTAATACTCTCCGCAATTTCCATCCAACGCTTTATCTACTTATCATTTTAAGGAGAAAGATAAAGAAAACTACTCAGAATTCATGGAGAAAACAAAACCACACTTTAGTTTAAAAGTAGAAATTATTGTCAAAAAAACAAGAAGTCTCAATTAAAACCAAAAGTACTTTAAAACAAAGATAAAAACTTATCTCAAATCCTCCACCAAATTATTGAAGTTCCTTTGAATCTCTTCTCTCTTACAACATTCTTAACTCTCAAATTAAAACTATAAACAAAAGGAAAATAAATTTGTGGTGCCTGAAATTTTTAAACTAAAAGCTTCTTCAAGAACTTCTTCAAGAAATTTTCAGAACCTCTTAAGATTTTTCAAGACTCCCCCCTTTTAAAAGTCTCAACTTCTTTCTTTTATAATGTTCAAAGAGGTGCCTTGGTATCTCTTCAAAATATGTCATGATTCGATGTAGCTTCCTTTCACAAGTCCTTTACTTATATTTTCGTCCTTGGTGGTTATAACCACCCATTTTTGTCAATAGGTATCTCAAATGTCTCTTCAAAATTTGTCAAAATGAATTAACCCGTCAAGGAATTATTGCCAGTGCTTAAGCATGGGACTCTGAAGCTTAGGTGCGGCATTCTCTGTTTCACCGACGCTTAAGATCCAAAATATTTTTGCACCATTTTTGCATTTTTGCTCCAAAATTGATCATTTTTCACTCATTTTAGCATTTTTCTGAGACTGTACTATACTTCTCTACCCCAGTTTTGGCTTCTGATGCTATTGAGACTGAACTAATTGTTGTGTATTGGGCATTAAAATTGGCTACAAAGACTAGATGGAATCACATATGGGTGGAGGTGGATTCTGCTGTGGTTATTAAACTCCTGGACTCTGAGGAACTACCTCCCTGACATCACTCATATTGGATAAACCAGATCAAAATGCTCACCTCCCAAATTAGTGTTAACTTTACCTTTATCTACAGGGAAGGCAACAAACTGCACACTGGTTAGCTAGAAATGGTCTCAACTTTAATATTATTTCTGTCTCTGCCTCCCCCCTCCTCCACTCCTGTTTCTACTGCATGGAGATCTGATAGATGTCCCCCATTTTAGAATAGCTGACCACAACACACTCAAGAGATAGCTGTTTTTTGCTGAAGATCTCTTACTCTTATTTTTTTGGTCCCTTCTTAGACTGTTGGCCATTGTTTTTTAGGCCTTTTCTTTTTTCCTTCCTCTTATTTCTCTTACACCAGCTGTATTGTTTTTGTGTGGGGTTGTGGTACACTTGGATTTTTTTTGTTGGGGTACTTTCTTCCTCCCCCTTTTGTAATCCTTCTTAAGCAAACATGTAGGGAGCCATGAGCAGCTCCTTTTTTCAATAGATATTAGATATAGGGGGGAGCCATGTAGGGAGCCATGAGCAGCTTCTTTTTTCCCTATATATTATATATATATAGGGAAGGAGCATTATACGGCTCTAGTTATATTAGATCAAAAATATAGTAAAGAAACAAATACAATTATACTCACCCATAGGGGTTTCGCCTCCCACATTACAACACCACCCAAGCAAAAAACTCCAAAAGTAACATACAAGTATGCCCAAAAAAGAAACAAAACATATACTCATATAAAATGAAATGTAACTATGAAGCCCAAATATCTATGCAACAACTGAAATAGAGACCTTGAAAAGGAAACAAAAGCAACAGTCCTCAGAATCTTCTTGAAAAGGTAAGGGATTCTGCATAGAAATGCTGAAAAAATCAATTAGTTCACTATGAAAACAACAAAAGGACAACAACAGCCGAGCTGAGTTCCAACATAACCCATGTATGAGGAGAGTAAAGCAGTCCAATAACATGCTATGATCCAGTAGTAATACAAAAGGGAGCTGCCAAAGTGAAATGACATCCAATACAGCTAGAGAAAGTAACAATCAATCAAGAGAGGGACCATTATCCACCCAACAACTAATCAAAAGCATATTGTCGAAATTGATGATCAGTGCAAAATTCTTGTAAACCTTGTAAACACAATAGTAAAAGGAGTATCCAGAGAAGCATGTATGCAAGGAATTC